AATTTCCGAAATCAATCCGATTAGACGAATAGAGGCCTCGATTACTTACCCGGCGTTATAAAACGACGTTGATTTGGCTTATCGAGTCGTCCGGATCGCAAACGCACGAAGATTTTCCCTATTCCTCTTTTTCTTCTTCTCTGCGTGCGTTTCTTCTTCTTCCCTTCTTCTCCTTTTTTTCTCTTCAGTCACCGAGGCTCCTTCTTCACCACTTCACGTTGAAAATAAAGACAAGTTAATGGGCTGGGCTCTAGATAAAATAATGGGTTATTTAAGCCCATTATTACATTTTCGGTGTCTTATTCATGCCTCATTAGCATAAACAAATGACTACGTTAATTTCTTGCTGTACTCGTATATAATTGCTGTCCGTTCCTCATTGTCGATGGCTAAACAAGTAAGGCCAACGACGTCTTTGCTTTCTGCTTTTCATGGGTAGGTGAGATGAGTGTTCAACACATTTTGAGTATACATATGGAAACGCTCTGTGAATGGATTATATTCTGGAACGTTCACCATTAGAATGATTGCGCATCCCTTTTTGTAAAGACCCATCCAATCAAAGTGAGATATACAGATTACGACGCATTCCATGCTTATGAGTTTCTATTATCTCCTAACAGTTTCTCGAAGAATCGTCACCAGTTTAATGGTAAAAATATGTAAATAGATCTCAATCAATCATTATAAAATTTTGAAGTGTTTATGTTTTGAAATGACGACAAAATGCATTTAGATGTGATGGGTTGTGAAAGGGGAATCCTTCGAAGACCATAGAAGGGCCCACTCTTTATGTCACTGGTTGAAATTGTGAATGTCAGTGAGTTTGCTACCTCCAGAATTCTAAAGCGGTGAAGTACTTTGATTTGCAAGATCGATGTTTCACCAAGTATGATGAGTACAAAAGATCTCGATGTCAGGAGGTATGAGAGCATAGGGCTTTGAGATGGCTCGACGTTTGCAATAATTGATAGGGTAGTTGCACGGTCAAATTCAGCAACTCCCAAAAAAGTGCACAACACTAAAATGAACTCTGATTAATAGCATGAAGAATGTTGAGATCATAGGACAGCGAGACTCTTAATATTTTTGTTGGTCAAAAGAGAATTTTGTTTATTTCTCTAAGACAAAACAGAAGACCCTGTTAAGAAGGCTTCGTTACATAGCAAATCCCATAAGGTTTGAAGAGGAGATGAAATCCAATTTCCTAAAATGGATTTTTTTTTTAATCCGTTGGACATTAGCAACCTAGTCCGCAATTCTATTAGCCTCTCTAGAGCAATTGGCTAAGTGAAGATCTGAAAAGATGAGCTAGCAGATCACGGTACTCAGTGATAAGTACGCATGCTTCATATGGAGTTTGATCTATACACTCTAGGATCCTTATCAGAATTAAAATATCTAACTCCATATGTCGCGACCATCCCGGTGGTGAACCACCAGGGGAAGGTTAATGGACTACTAAATGGGAACGAAGGTTCCTCTCATGAGGCCATCGTTCACATTTAGCGCGAGCTCTCCCAAGTCCTATCAATCACAACTTGGTACTCAATTCAACATGTGATTAAACTTACCTTTTGGAGCTGTCACCAATTGGCTATGAGTCGATTAGACACCCAAGCAAAATGTGCCGCGTACCAAAGATTCATGAGTATAGGGACTTAGTTACGCTAAATTAATCTAACGCCCTTTCAGTACCTTTTCTCTTTATTTTGAAAATGTTTTGCATACAGTTTTTATCCATTTTTAACCTATGCCACCAACATGTGAGGAATGATCATGTAGATGCACACTCACGAAAGTAACACTCAATAATCAAAAAAGTAAATAGATTGCTAAAGATGTTAAGAACTTGGACACACAAAGCAAACAAAGCATATCACTATCCATGACCATGAGATTTCTGCAAACTATTACTTTAGAAAAATATGCAAACAGAATGCATGAATGTTATGCATGATCGTGCTTGAAATAATGACTAACTAATATGCAATCTATATGAGACTCTACTTCTAATTTTTGGTATTTTTCTTTATTAACTAACAAAAGACAAATGACCCTAAAAGTCTACAAATTAAATGATTCCTAACCCTGTATCTATATGATTAATGAAAACTAAATCCTAGGTGCGAGATGACATCGTTTTATTTCTAAGATAATACATCCATGTGATTCTAACGTGTATGAATGGCCTAAGAGAAATCATGAAGTTTTATTTTATAAAAATAGCAAGTTTAAAACCTTAGACTCTAATGTGGCCTAATGAACTATCCACTATTATTGAACTATATGCAATGCGGACGATGCATGTAATGTAATAACTAAAACTATCCTATATGATACGATTATTAAAACTTAGTTTTAAATGACATGCATTGTATGACATAAGCCCAATTAACCCTAGGTCTACATGTAATCTAAATGATTCTAAATAGCATTTTTTATTTGATTTTTTTTTATGGAAGCTATGAACTAACCTGAATCTATATGTATTCTAAAACTAGCATATTCTAAAACGATATGCGTTACAAAACTAACCATGCATGGCCCAAACATGAAAACCTAGAGTGTAAATTTTGAATGTGATACATTAATGCACAATGACGACGTACGAATTAATCACATCGTTGATAACATACTCAACCACAACAATCCATGCAAGACAATATTAGGGTTTGACCTTAGTGTCTAAAGGTCCGAAAGCCGAATATGTCTTTGTTGATGCACTGAAACAACCAGAACACCCTAAGGTTTCATCACTAATATCATATGTCTAAAAAATATATATTAAAATAAAACTATTGCTTGAAATTAGTCAAACTTTGACTACCTTATTTAGGATTTCCTCAAGGATAGACTTCATGTGTCATGAAAGGCAGCAACAGTGGACTTAGGAGACACCAGCAACAGTTCGTGAGCAAGACAGTCACAGCGGTGAGCAGCTGCAATGACAGCAAGAATAAGCGAGGCTTCGCGGATAGACTTGGTTAGAGTGCGGCGAGCAAGAAGAGGGATGCAGCAGCAGCAAATGGCAACAGACAGCAGCAATGAACAATAGCGAGCAGCAGCAACAGTGACGCATAAGTAAGCGTCAGCGACGAACAATAGTGCAACAGAAACAAAAAGTGAGCAGCAACGACAAACAGCAGCAAGCAGCGAATGGCAACGAGTAGCAGTGAGCAGCAAACGGCAGCAAGCAGCGACAGCAGGGGCGCAGCAGTAGTGAACAGCAATAAACAGCAGCAAACAGCAACAAACAGCAGCAAACAGCAGTAAACAGCAGCGAACAGCGACAAACAACGGCCAACAGCAGCAATGAAGCAAGAACTACGCAATCAGGCGAATGAGAGGCTCATTGGAACAAAGGAATTTGGTGCAAGTCACCGAAGAAAAGGAGGTGGGACAACAACAACCAAAGAGAAGAACTCTTTTATCTCTCGCGTATTTTGATCTCTCTCTGTGGGAGCTCCCTTGGATCTTCCTTCCTTTGCTCTTGTGGTGAGGCGCTCTATTTATAGGCAATGGGGGTCCCTAAAATAGTGGAGATGATAGTGACTTTCACCTATTGTGGCCGTATCTGAATGGAAACCTTTTAAAGGCTTTGGAGGCAATTGTGGAAAAAAGATTCTTGAAGAGATCATCTTTCTCTGTATTTGCAAGATTCCTGTCTTCCTTCTCAAAATTGGCTCAATCTCTTTATTCCACCAGCCCATCAATTGCAGTTTTTCCTTAAATCTGCACCGAATTGCTCTCTTCAGCCGCTTGATTCACGGCTGTCTTTCGCTCCAGCGAATATTATTGCATCGACTCATCCAACTTGCTCTTTCTGTCTCTTGATTCTTTATTTACTTTATTTTTTTTCCTTTCGGGCTTCAAAGATCCACCGATTTTACCTTTTAATTGTCACAATTCCCTTTGTCTTCGACCATAAACCGACTTTGCCATTTCGAACCTGCTCATTTCATCATGACCAAGAATCTCTCTTTTCTTTCTTGCCTTTTATACACATTTGTAATTTTGTTCATTCCAAGAAAGCAGATTTCTTCCGATTACGATGAATATGACTAGCTTTTCTTTGCCAGGCACTACAAAAAAAGTTGGTTTGAACGACCAATTTTGCCATGAAAAATTTGGCAAAATTCGTCGCTAAACGAATTTGCGACGGAAAAAAAATTCGTCGTTAATAGACCGTCGCAAAATTTTGCGACGGAAAATTTAAATTTTCGTCGCTAATTTTTTGTCGCAAAATTCGTCGCTAATTATTCATCGCAAAATTCATCGCTAATTTTTTATCGCAAAATTCGTCGCTAATTATTTGTCGCAAAATTCGTTGCTAATTTTTCGTCGCAAAATTCGTCGTTAATTTTTCGTCGCAAATTTGCCACGAAATTCTCTTTTTTTTGGTCAGTAATTTGTGATGAACTGATTCGTGGCAAAATTCGTCGCTAATTTGCCACGAAAAATTTGTACTTTTGCCACGAACATTGTTCTGGAACGAATTTAGCAACGAATTTTTATTAATTCGTCGCAAATTAGCGACGAACTATAAAAATAGCTGCGAATGTGCGGCAAAAGTTTATTACAGGTTGGCCTCCTACTAGTCAAGATAACCATGTGCGTCGTAATCACAATTGGCACAATGCAAACTATATCTAATCCATGGCTGAAACCTGATATATCTACCACAAACTCAGCCTTGCAGAGTTCCTTCTAACCTCTGATATCAAGTATATGAATATTAGCAGCAACAGTTCATGCTCTAATATAAATTCTCAGTAAATTACAGTCTTTCCATGAAACTCCTGATACGAAGACAGTTTGCACAGAAATTACATAGGTTGATAACTTTATTTTAGAATGATGAAGTTATGCTGCTGAAGCTAAGCTCCGGAGTATTTTCTAGTATAGTGACCAGAGGGCCACACAATGCCTAAAGGAATTCTACAAAGCATCAGCAACCGGCAATAATGTTGGGAACCCGCAAGAAGTCAGTCTAGAGGGCCTTGCCTCAGCAGTAATATGACATCAAACAAGTGAAGCTACCACCATGTCAATTGTCAAAACAATCCACATGTATAATCATTCTGCAAGCACATTACACGGCGGCCTCCTTCTCTGCTTCTTATAAACATCAAATTGCTGCTTGGAAAAAAGAGAAGAGTAGAGATGGTCAACATGTGAGGCGATGTTATGATATGATTCCCTATTCTATTTCATAACCAGTAATAGAATGCAAAAACAATGTTTCAAGATACTCCCGTGACATTAATGCTGTTGTCCATCTATTTGCTTGTTATCTAATCAATAATCAGACTGACTGTTGTCAATTCATTTTCCATTTGCTCACATGAAAGAGGAAAGGAGCTGTATCTAAGAAACAGCATTGACATTTACGTTACAACCACTAGAAGATATGTAGGTGAGGGACTTCACCTGTTGGCACAGAAAATGGGGAACCCGAACTCTCTTGGAACCATCAGCCAGACGTTTAAAGGGCAAATGGTTTTCCATGGGAAAAGAATTATTGTTGACCTACAAGTAGATGCAATACAAATGTTAATGAATCTTTGAGATCAAACAATTTATTTATTATATAAATAAATCTTAAGTTACTGTAAGAAGGACAAAGAAAAGTGGGGGATAGAGCAAGGTATAACTTCTCACATACAGGATTCTCAAGACAAGGGTCTCAACAAGAAAGTGCGACATACAGACTTTCGCGTCAGTAGAATATCACATCAAGTTTCCAGCAAGGTTAACATTGTCTATGAGGTAGGTTTGTTCCGCAAATTCAAGTTTTAAAGTGCTTGATGATGTAATCAACAAGCTCGTATAGGTTAGAGAAGCATATTGACAAGCAGCACAAATTGATGTTAATGCTATATTCTGATTAAATTCAGATCGTACTTGGTTTTGAATAACCTCTATTAACAATTCTTGACAACCTGACGCATATACATTCTCTAAACTGGGGCACTGAATTAGCAATCGATCTGAGAATGCAAAGAAAATTAAAGTTAGATTAGGATGCAAATTAGGAAAGCATGTGAGATGCATCAATATCCCATTAATTAAAGTAAGCACTCAATCAAGACCAATACATTTTTTAAAACGTACCAGTGAGCAAATTTTTATAGGCATTGAGATTCAGGTCATTCAACTCTGGGCAGTTCAAATACAGGGCCTGCATTTCAATCAACAAAATAAGAACCACAAGGAACCCATGGTAACAGAATGCAATATACAAATTATAGGATCTGGGAGTCTCACATCTAAGCCACTACAACCCCACAAGCTGAGTTTTTTTAATTTACTGTGCTTTATAATAAGCTTCTGGTGTATGAGGTGAAGATTGCTGTTGGGCCTTTTCTCCATCCCATGGTTGATGGCTTCATCAGAGATGAGGCTTTCATCATTACTATCACATACAGTCATACCACACTCCACGAGTTCAAGAAGAGGCAGCTGAGCTATGGCAAACTGAATTCCACCTGAAATATATAAACAGTTAGTGAACCAAAATAAAATGCAAGAAATGATTTGAATAGATTCACGTTCAGCATGACAAACAATGAACCTATAGTGCTAACTGAAAGGAAATGCCATTTATTTACAGAGTAGTCCAGGAAGTTACTTGAAGAGATGTTAGGACAAAGGGCAAGTAGGAGTCTTAATAATGTTTCAGGAAACACATTGCATATCATCCCGATGCCACTGTCACTAATGCTTGACCTGCATGTAACAATAAATTCATGATTAAAAAAGAAGTGCAATTGTTGGGGCTGATGATTAAATTATATTCCTTCATGCTCTAAGCTTCTATGGTCATTACCAATGCGCCCTATTTGTCACACTATTTGAAACCAAATGTGTTTATATCATGTATGGGAACTTTTGCAAGAGAAAAAAAAAACCATGAATTGACACGATGAAGCTGAATTTTCTATACCACTGTGATATCTCATAAATCAAACAACATAGGACCTCACAGCAGAACATACCCACTGAGATCAAGCAATTCTAAATCCGAAAAGCTTGAAGCTATAGCAGCAACAGATGCATCAGTGATTTCTGATCCAAGCACCAGTGATAGCATCCGCAAACCCCTGTACAATGAAAAAATTTAGCAGTGGTCATCAAAGCTGTATCTAATTAATGATGCTTCAATGCTCTTATGGAAAATTTCGGTCTTTAGTATCTAGGAAGTGAACTTAGGATCTATATGATCACTAGACAGCAAAATGTGTGGAACAAGGACTTACAAAGCTCTAGAGCTTAAAGGAAATAAATGCCTGTTTGAAGCTGTTATCATATGCAACATGCATGACCAAGTTACAGAACACACCTTAAATTAGAAGCTGTAAGAGCTAGTACAACCGCATGAGAAAGCCGAACCGACGCAATGTGAATATTTTGTAAAATTGGACAACTCCTTCCCAGACCATCAACTGTGGCAATCAAATCTGTACAATCATTTCCATTGCGAGAGAATTCCAAGGAGATTTCTCTTAAGTTAGGGCAGTTAAATACCTGTAGGGATGTGAAAATGAGTCAGCATCACTTGTTACATCTATCATAGACAGGACTAAACATGCAAGATACAGAGGAGAGATCCTAGAACATAAAAAAGCAAAGGGATGCAATTACCATCTTTGAGAGGGAGTTTAGATCAGAAAGCCAGAGTGTAGAAAGACTCGATGAGCTGAGAACCAAACCCCCAAGGTTAGAGCAACCTTCCATTTTAAGACACGTTAGGCATCGTTTGTCAGCAACAAAACGACCCAATTCATCTCTGCAGAAGTTTGCACAAGTTAATATGGTAAATGAATAATACATTTCCAAGATTTCTGCGTGCACGAATAAGAAAATGGAGATCAAACTGCCTAGATATTACTAAAAACCATTAAACAGACTATGTAACCTCCTTGCTGGAAACAAACAAGATGTTATTTAAGCTGTAAAATGGATATTTACTTGCAAAACTAAGATGTTACAAGCATGAGCAACCAAGAGTAAGATCTCAACACGTTGATCTCTTAAATAGTTGGTTCAAAAAGCAGCATAAAAAACTGACAGCTTTCCTCTCCTAGTTCCCACTGCTAGTCAAGGACGAAATAATGATGCACACACCACAATTGGAAGAGCCATCACATTTTCTAGTGGCATTCCTAGATCATGGAGACGCAAACAAATTTGTAAATCACAGACAGGTGATCAAAACCTTTACAATTAGAGTAGACTCCGCTAAAGTCTTTCCATTTCGAACAAATGTTGCTTGCAAATTACATGTGCCAGCTTGAAAGTGATATCCATTTGCAACCATTAATTGAGCAGTAATGCAGGGATCTTAGGGTTCTCCACCCCAGAAATGCCTCAATACATATATAACCAAGATCCAAACAAATCTCATATGAAAGACCTAACCCGCAAAAGGGGAACAGAAAGTTTACCCTGTAATCCGGTTGACAGCATTAGAGGATGTTGAGATCTCCACAGACTCCAGATTAGGGCATGAGAACGCAATGCAAGCCAGCATCGTCGCATCTACATCACTGCGAAAGCCAACCAACAGAACAAGAACCGAATCAGTGTCATAAATCCAGAAAAATTTGACGAAGCTCAAGCACATGATCTCGAACTGGAATTAATTGTGAGATCCAATCAGGATCCTCACAACTGATTCACAAGTTCTAGGCCTTCCTTAAAGGGTTAATGTGCGAATCCTGAAACTCCCTGATTCATGAAAGTTTGTCCATAAATGCTGATCAACCAGCATTTCCACTACTCGCAGCATACTTTTCTTTTTGTTAATTTTAAGCTTCAATTCAATTGATCAAACAGTTCACTTGCGGTTATTAGGTCGTGCATCAACTTCGGTCCTAATTGATAACGCCCAGATGAACCTTGTCTCATCAGTGCATCAACATCAACCGATCCGATCCACCTCGCGAAGAAACATCCTAGATCCGAATCCACGACTGATTACTAACCTTTCCATCCACAGAGATAGCCTAACGAGCTCAGGGCACTTGTTCAACACCGATCCGACGAAATAGAGCTGAGCTCTCGAGGGAACCCTGAGCTTCAGATCCTCGGCGGCCCACCATACCCTCCTCGAGGTCTCCCGCCACCCCTTGTACACCCGCGCCACCGCGAGCAGCTCCGCCGGCGGCAACCTCCTCAGGACCTCCCACAAGCACCTGGCGGGCAACCCGCCGGCGTCCGCATCCCCGTCCACGAAATCCCGATCCCGCTCGTCGAGATCCGGCTCCACCTCGTCGATGTCCTCCTCCTCCTCGTCGGCGCGGACGTCGAGGTCGTCGAAGGAGAGCGCGCAGCGGAGGTGCGAGATCGGGTGGTGCGGCAGGAGGGGCGGCGGCGACTGGGGAGGGCGGGCGGCGGAGGAGAGCGCGGACGGCATGACGGTGACGGTGGACGCGGAAGCCGCCAAGGCGGAGGATGCGGCGGCGGCGCTGACGGGCAGCGTGGAGGAGGTGGCGGCGGCGGAGGAGGAGTCGGGGGCGGGGGAGTGGGAGGAGCCGACGTGGCAGGAGTGGCCCTTCTTGGGGAGGCCACAGTGACCGCAGTTGTAGCTGCCGCGCTTCTTGCCGCGCTTGGCGGCGGCGTCGTCGTTGTCGTCGGAGGAGGAGGAGGCGGCGGTGCATGGCGGAGGAGCGGCGGAGGAGGCTAGAGAGAGAGAAAGAAGGAGAGAAGTTAGAGAGAGAGAGTGAGTGAGAGCGAGCGAAGGGGGAGACGATGGCGCGAGAAGGGGAGACGATGGTTTGCGCCTTCGAGTTCCGAAGATTTTTTAATTATTATTATTAAAAAAATAAGAATAAATAATTAATTAGTGTGTTTTTTTCGTCGTGAGAAGAGGGGGAGGAGCGTTGCATGCGGAGAGCGTTGGGATGTGGTGGAATTACGGAAATGGGCACGCGCGCGGGTTCCTGAAAATTTTTGAAAAAAGCAGTAAAAAACTTGCGTTTGTCGTTGCAGTTGCTGTTGTTGTAGTCTGAAAAGGCAGGCGACGAAAAGGGAGAGTAAGATCTAGTCCCTGGACACAGGTTGGATCGTGTTTTAGATATTATTAACTTTCTAAATTCAATTGGGTTTGACAAAAAAAAATTATTAATTGGTTCGAGCCGTCGGAACAGATTCCTTATTTTTTGAAACTTCGAATTTACTCTACATTAGGGGTGAGCATGATTCTAGGTAAAACCTAGAATCGGAGAACCGGACCGGTGGGAACCTGTTCGGTTCCAGGTTCCAAGGCATGCACAGTAGGTTTCAAAATTCAAAAATTCGGGAACCTGTTTCGACGAGTAGGTTCCAAGTTCTAAGTATGTGGAATCTGGAACACATATTTTTTTGTCAATTCTAAATGCACCATAATTTTCATTGAATCATTAATAAAAAGAAAATTATCCACTGCAATAATAACAAGTTGCATATGCAGCTTAATAAAAGATATTGTTCATTCAGTTGCTTGGCTCCCCTGAAAAAGGTTACTCTCTTGAAAAAATATTTTACCTGAATCAAACAATAAAAGTTTTCAATTACATCAATAAGAAAGTCATTATTCACTTAAAACACGTATATATCAAGGAATAAGTTTCAATGTTTAGTGCGAGAAGCACCAAATGAACTTGTTGACATGATTGATTATTGTTCTCCATTCGCAGTTTCATTATCAATAGATACATTTAAGCAATTTGGGTCCTTTTCAATATTATCTTCCAATAAAATATGAGTAAATTGAGTATAATGCATTCATCAACCACAATATTCAATCTTTGAGTAAATTTTCGTAAATTTGTACCAAAAATCAAAGTCGAAAAATTCACGATCATGAGGATTATTCGGGGAAATAAAGTTAATAATTGTTGGAATAAGTTTAGAAGAAGACAGACATGAAGGAAACCTTGCAATGAATGGGTGTGGAAGATGAGGCTAGAGTGAAAAAATTATTTGAAAGGAATGTGAGTAGTTTTGTCTTTTAATATAATATAAAGCAAAAGAAAAAGAAGAAAAAATGCAAGAAATAATCTTAAATTAAAAGTGAGATCCGCAAAGAACAATGTAGTCAGTTCAATGTGATGGAGAATGCCAGAAACCAATTAGAGAGAGAGAGTTTGCGCGTGTCACCGAACAATTTTTCCCTCACATGGCAAGGAAAGTTAAGATGTTGTTATGCGATAGAAGGTTTTCACGTGAGAATGGTATTTGCCTCATATTGAAACCCAAAATCCATTCATCTACTATTTCTTAAGAAAAAATGACTAAAATAGTTTGTTGAATTTCTACAAAAGAAAACTTGTGCATTTTAACTTATCGAAAAGCTATTCTATTACGTCGCAACACGAGAAAAACTCGTATATCATACAATGAAGTACAAATTCACTGTATTGATAGCAAAACCCAATGATATTGCACAACTAAAATACAAAATAATTCTACGAGTTTATATTGAAACTTGTACCTGAAAACTATAAAACAGCAAGTAATTACTATATTCTCGTACATTTTTGGTACAAATAATTATCTGAAAGGATCATCTGCCTTGTAGTATGCACGAGTAAAAGTTATAATGAGGATATGATATAGTTATGACTCCATATCTCGAAGCTTATCATATACTCTCAAGTTCTAACGATTCCATCGATTCCACACATTTCTATGAGTTCTTATGCATACCCTTAGTAGCGGCTCCGATATAATCACGTTCCCAATCCATCCAAACCCTTATAAACTTATAATAGGATTTCAAGCTGCAACCCGACTTTGCGATCTCATTTAAAAAAAATTTGAATCTACCGTTGCTTTTCTAACTTATGTCACTACAAAAAAAGTAGGTTTTAGCGACCAATTTTGCCACGAAAAAAATGGAAAAATTCGTCGTTAAACGAATTTACGACAAAATTTGCGACGAAAAAAATTTCGTCGCCAATTAGGCGTCGCAAAATTTAATTTTTCATCGCTAAATTGCGACATCGCTAAATTGCGACGAAATATATTCGTGGCAAAATTCGTCGTTAATTTTTCGTGGCAAAGTTTGTCCCTAATTTTTCATGGCAAAATTCGTCGCTAATTTGCCACGAATTTTTTTTTTGGTCAGTAATTTGCGACGAACTTATTCGTGGCAAAATTCTTCGCTAATTTGCCACGAAAATTTTTTACTTTTGCCACGAACATTGTTCCGGAACGAATTTAGCGATGAATTTTTATTAATTCGTCGCAAATTATCGATGAATTTGAATCCGTTGCTAATTAGCGACGAAAATAAAATAGTCGGGAACGTGCCGCGAATTTTATAGTTCATCGCTAATTCCGTCGCTAATTTGCGACGAATTTAGTGACGAAAATAAACTTTTGCCGCACATTCGCAACTATTTTTATAGTTTGTCGCTAATTCCGTCGCTAATTTGCGACGGAATTAGCGATGAATTTGAATCCGTCGCTAATTAGCGACGAACTATAAAAATAGTTGAGAATGTGCAGCGAAAGTTTATTTTCGTCGCTAATTAGTGACGGAATTAGTGATGAACTACAAAAATAGTCGGGAACGTCCCACCAAAGTTATTTTCGTCACTAATTCCGTCGTAAATTAGAGACAATTTTTTTTTTCCGTCGCTAATTAGTGACGAAATTTTTTTTCATCACAAATAAATTTCGTCACTAATTAGCGACGAATTTTTTTTCCGTCGCTTTTTTTTCCGTCGAAAATTAGCGACACATTTTTTTTCCGTCGCTAATTAGCAACAAATTTTTTTTTCCGTCGCAAATAATTAGCGACGAATTTTTTTTTCATCGCAAATTAGAGACGAATTTTTTTTCCGTCGCTAATTAGCGACGAATTTCTTTTTCGTCGCAAATTAGTGATGAATTTTTTTTCCATCGTTAATTAGCAACAAATTTGAATCCATCGCAAAATCCGTTGCTAATTAGCGACGAATTTTTTTTCCGTCGCAAAATCCGTAGCTAATTAGCGACGAATTTTTTTTCCATCACAAATTCCATCGCTAATTAGCGACGAATTTTTTTTCGTTGCAAATTAGTGACGAATTTTTTTTCCGTCGCTAATTAGCGATGAATTTTTTTTCCGTCGCAAATTCCGTCACTAATTAGCGATGAATTTTTTTTTTCGTCCCAAATTAGCGACAAGTTTATTTTTCGTCGCAAATTCCGTGGAAATTAGCGATGAAAATTTTTCGTCACTAATTTTCCATGGCTAAATCCTTATTTTTTTGTAGTAAATTAGCTACGGATTTAGCCATGGAAATTAAGTATCGCGGCATTTCCCTACTATATTTATTTTCATGGCTAATTAGCCACGGAAATTAAGTATCGCCGCATTTTCCTACTATATTTATTTCCATGGCTAAATCCGTGGCTAATTCACGGAAATTAAGTATCACCGCATTTCCCTACTATATTTATTTTCGTGGCTAAATCCGTGGCTTAAGTATCGCCGCATTTCCCTGCTATATTTATTTCCGTGGCTAAATCCGTGGCTAATTTAGCCACGAAAATTAAGTATCGCCACGTTTCCCTACTATATTTATTTCCGTGGCTAATTAGCCACGGAAATTAAGTATCACGGCATTTCCCTACTATATTTATTTCGTGGCTAATTAGCACGTTACCATGGAAATTAGTATCCGTTTCCCTACTATATTTATTTCTGCTAATTAGCCACGAATTTAGCCACGGAAATTAAGTATCGCGGCATTTCCCTACTATATTTATTTCCGTGGCTAATTAGCCACGGATTTAGTCACGGAAATTAAGGGTCTGCATAGCAACGTTTCTGTTCCCAGAAACAATTTCTGATCAGAAATAGTTTTTTCAATTTCTATTTCTTGGAACAGTTTCTAAGCAAAAAATAGCGTTTAGTAACTGCACAAAATTTATATTCCTAGAATAAAAAAAGAATAGAAACGCGTTTAGGGCGCGAATGATCCATTTCTATTCCATGAACGAGTTTCTCCCTTTTGGGCTACCGGCGGATGACGACGGGTGGCGGTGGGGGGCGAAGGTCGGTGGTCGGCGGCGACAGAGGATGGCGGCCGGCGGCAGGAGGCAGTGGAGCACGGCGGTCAGCGGTAGAGCACGATGGCGTTGGGCGGCAGTGATGGCAATGGGGGGTGGCGGTGGGAGGTGGCTGGCTGCGGAGGGTGGCCAGCGTCGGTCGATGGAGCACGGCGGCCGGTGGCGAAGGATGGCGGCCGATGGTGGGTGACCGCCGGCGTCGGGTGGCCAGGGGCGGGAGGTGGTCTGCGGCCGAGGGCAGTCAGCGCCGGGCGATGGCCGGCGTCGGGCGGTGGAGCACAATGGCAAGCGGTGGAGGATGGCGGCCGGTGGTGGGTGGCCAACGGCGGCAGAGGACGGCGACCGGCGGTGGGTGATCGCCGGTGTCGGGTGGTTGGCGGGGGGAGGTGGCCAGTGTCGGGTGGCAGCCGGCGTCGGGCGATGGAGCATGGCGGCCAGCGGTGGAGGACGGTGGCCAGTGGCGACAAGCATTGAGCGGCGGAGGACAGTGGTCGACGACAAGAGGCGGCCGGCGGTGGAAGGCATGCGGTAGGTGGCAGCGAAGGATGGCGAGAGGTGGCGGTGGGCGGGTTGCGGCCGATGGATTGTTTCTTGTTTTTGGAGGATTCCAGAAAAAATCATTTATTGTTTTTGTTCCAGAAACAAAGAAGTAGATTTTTTTTGCTTCTTGTTTCTGTTCCAAATCTATTCCAGGATCACTTTTTTGTTCCAAAAACAAAAAAGTAGATTTTTTTTACTAAACAAATTTCTGTTCTTTTTCTGCTCCGGGGAACAAAAGAACAGAAAAACAAAGAAACATAAATGTTACTAAACAGATCCTAAGTATCACATCATTTCCCTTCTATATTTATTTCCGTGGCTAAATCCGTGGCTAATTTAGCCATGGATTTAGCCACGAAAATAAAAAATAGTCGGGAAAGTGAAGCGAGAGTTTATTTTCGTGGCTAAATCCGTGGCTAAATTAGCCACGAATTTTTTTTCGTCTCAAATTCCGTCGCAAAATTAGCAACGAATTTTTTTTCGTCACTAATTCCGTCGCAAATTAGCCACGGAAAATTTTTCGTCGCAAATTAGCGACGAAAAATTTTTCGTCGCAGATTAGCCACGGAAAAGTTTTCATTGCAAATTAGCCACGGAAAATTTTTCGTCGCAAATTCCGTCGTAAATTAGCGACGAATTTTTCTTTCGTCACAAATTCCGTCACAATTAGCGACGAATTTAGTTTTCGTCGCAAATTCCATCGCAAATTAGCGACGAATAATTTTTCGTCACTAATTTTCCGTGGCTAAATCCTTGTTTTTTTGTAGTGAGGTTTGTGCGCTCATGGTAAAAGGAAAAGGATTTTGGTTCCGAAAAATCCATGCATGAGATTTCGAGCCCCCCAATCACATTGCCACATTAGTTCACGAAATAATTACGAATGCAAATATTGATATTTTTGTTTAGGGATTGAAACCAATCCCTAATTTTTCATTTGATCTCTGCCATGTCATTATTGATAACGCATGCAATGTCATCATTGCCACGTCATCACATTACCATTGTCATCAATTTCACGTCATCATAATATCACATGTCATAATTTTCATCTCATTGCATGTCATGTTAGATTAATTTACCGTTCTTTTCCTCGTCATTAGAATTAAGTCGCATATAGGTTGCATCTAGATAATTCATATCACCTGTCATTAATTCAAGTCATAATTCACACAGATATTATTGAGACAACCTCCTATATATATTAAAGTTGACAAAACAATCCATGGTTTATTACAATATAAGCAAGAGTTGGTTGTGGATTTAGGTAATATCCACACAATGGGAGCTTTGATATGCTCAGTGTAAAGATTCAAAGTAGCTGGAAGAACCTATTTGTGAATGGGAAGTTCATAGAGTCTTGGAGGTGATCTACATCACCATTGTATTCGAAGTGCCTAATGGGAATCGGTTGGATTTAATAAAATTTAATATCAATAGAAGCTTGTGTGAGCTTGATATCAGCAGAAGCCTGATATCATCATATGCTTTACTTAAGCATGAAATTTGATATGACCATATACTTTGGAATCTGATATGACCAAAAACTTAACTTAAACAAAAGTCTGACATAACAAGGAGCTTTTAGTGAACTGAGGTATGAAATCACCAGGTTGCATGGTTTGCTAATATAAGCATAACACATATAGTACCTGCGATATCTATCTTGTCACGAACTTCAAGATTATTATTATGTGATATTTTATCTTATCTGGTCTGATATGGATTCCCATTTTAGAAGTTAATGATTGACAATCAATCTTAAAGTTCTTCACGAGATAAAACAATCACACATGATATCTTGGTTAGTTGACAATCATCCTGAATGCGTGGTGACCTTACCATAGGGGTGCACCTAGGGGTTTGGCTAATGGAATATTATGCGTAGCATAGGCAAATGGCATAGCGAGAAGACACACAACATGACATACGTGACACGTGGTAATGACAAGACAATGATGATGCAAGCATGATGCAATTAATCTATATGACATACACATGTTCATTTTTTGTAACATAGAATCAAATCAAACCAAAATAAAGATCAAACCAAAATAAAATATAGCATCCAATCACCCAAGATATCATTCATATCCATTTAAATTTGAAAATAAATCGACGAATCGTATCTCGGGCATGAGGATTGGA